TATATACTTATATGTATTTATATATGGATATATATATATAGTTGACGACGCCTCGAGCACTGTGCAACTTAAAAACAGCCAGACGCAACACAAGCAAGATATTCCCTACACAACTCCGCCACCCACCATAGCTGATATGACACTGTGTGCAGATATGCTAATGACACAGCAATTCTGTGGGCAGCACGTCAGCAGTACGTACTGATACTAAAGTCTAACGTGGAAAGCACAGATTATTCATACAAAGAAGCGTACATAGGCAAGCCGCTGTATATACACATCCGTAGATCAGTGACCGGCCAGGACATACAAGGAGGCGTATACATCTGCAACACAAGTACAGCAGGCTAAACCAGTACACCGTCACGGCATGCGATTCCCATACGACAAAGGGCACAACACCTAGTTTCCTCGCATCCTACTTACAATTTCCTCGCCTGGCCCGGCAGTTACGCGTCGTATCAGCAGTCTTTTGTCGTCCTCAGGGTGTTTTAAGCACACTACATCACCTTTATACACCCCGTTGAGAGCCTCGCTTATTCTCACTTCCAGAAGTTTCTCGGAATCGTCGAATGTAGGAGCCATCGTGTTACCTAAAAACTTGACATACTTCGTTTGGTTTGCTAGTGTGAGCAACCTGGCCCAATCCTGATGCTTGCGCTTCCAGTACGCAGGTTTCTGGAATAAGAAATACGTAGTGAGCTACTCAACTAAGACAGATTGAAATTCATTGTCTATCAATTTGTATTATACATAGATGTATGTCGAAATTTAAACATGTGTATTAAAAAATACTAATATATATATAAGTCTCAATAGAAATAGAAATAGAAATAGAAATATGAATACAAATTCAAAAGATAAATATATAAATATACATACATAAATATACATATATATATATATAATATATATATATATATATATATATATATACTATTTTTTAAATATAAACATATATTGTATACATTATAGAAACATATATTGTATACATATATATATATTTTATTATATATATATATATATATGGGATTTATATTATCGATATATATATATATATATATAAAATATATTATCTATTATACATGCCATCTTCTGAATGTTATATACATATGGTATGGTGCG